TTTATGGACGTTTATGCGGTTATTTCTCCCGTGCGATTTTAGGACGCTATCTTCTAATGTGGTTTTGAATAAACCTTACGGCCAACCAATCGTACGTGCAAGCTGGATTTGGAAAGAAGGTCTTTAACCGTTGACCACTTACATACTATCCATCAGATTATAGAACAAGTGAATCTCAAATTACATGATACAGTACCTAGCTTTTGTTGACTTAGAAAAATATATTTGATTTATTTGAATGCAATCCAGTTGATGACAAACCCTGGCCTTCGTAAAATAATATGTACAAATTATCAAAATCCACACATGTAAACAGAGATGTCACATACATGCACACCTCTGTTTCATTGTTACATGTTCACCGTTTATTGTTGGATATCTAATATGGATTATGCATCTAAAGCCATTACCCAATCCTGGATTGATTCTCAAATCACTCTTAAAGAAGTTCACTGTTTTAATTAATTAGTATTACACCCTTACTCATCCACATGGCAAATTTTAAACGATATATGTTGAATTACAAATGCAAGCTGACCCACTGGTTAACATGGGGAATGTTCTTTTGTTTAATGCATCACCGAGTAAGAATGTTGAACGAGTCATATTTTTGGTTGGACTGCCTTTAGAATTCTGAACTGGATTGTGAAACGTAACATACCGACGTGCCTAACAAAACGAAATATGTAATTTGCGTGTATTCCCACCTTGTATGACACATGGTTCAAAAGCACGAATATTAACAAAAATAAAGGAACAAAAACTTAAATGTGGGCAACAAAGTATGAAGAGATGCGTGCTTGAAATTACAGTGAAAGACAGAAAGAGGAACACGTGGATTCGAGATCACAAGCAGGTTCATGACATCATTCGCCTTGTTCATAAAATTAAGTAGGATCGGCCAGTACATCGAACAAAGACGGTCAGTGCATCACGCTGCGCTTTCAGATGATAGACTTCTGCGGCCGTCTGGAATGCTCTTCCTTCCGGCATTAGGAAGCCACTGGAGCTCTGCACTTCTAAATCTAGACGGAAAACTAATTTATTTGCGTTTAGTTTGTTATCCTTCCCCCAAACCGATTAGGACGGTCGGCTGCGTATGGTGCGAAAGAAGTTGAACGTACACACGTACAGTTCAACATACAACAAGAGACGCTGGCCGATAGTAATAAGTGATGGTAGAATGGCAGTTAAAGGAAGAGAACGCATCTGGGGAGAATGAGTAATGAAATCAATTCGTGTGCAGGTGCTGGGTGGATTGCTGCATTGCGCAATGAAGAGGCATGATAAAAGCTTGCGGAGGCTTTCATCCAGCAGTGGATTGACCATAGCTGATGATGTTGGTGGTGATATGTAACCACTCTGATGTTCTCATAATTGCAGTGTGGACTCCATTACACCATGACTCCCCTCCGTGGCTAAACCAGGGAAGGTCCAATAAGCCCAGGGCAAGGTTTGGCCAAATGATCACTCTTTCATGCAGTGTTGGCACTGTCAGAGAATAGACACAGATATGTTAATACACGTTTTCTTTTTTTACATTTTATCCTTTGGCAACTGCTACACGTCACCGTAAAGAGTGCAAACCGAGAAGTCCATATAATGATGTCGGCTGAGGTTTGTGTCAACTTGCTTTCGTAGCGTGTGCCATGAACCGGTGCGGAATGACTCATCTCGCAACTGGCTTCATATGAACAATTAATGCGGCTCTTGCGTTTTCTTTTGAAAATCAATACCCCTTCCACCACCACCACCGGTTATAAGAATGAGATACCGACGTTTGTGTCCGACAGACGTGACGTGTACCACGCATTCGTAATCGGAGAGCACGTTAACTCCTTTTTCAATAACGAGCACATTTGCGGCTAGATTGTTCCCAAACATCTCACACGCGAACAAAACAAAAATCCACGTGAAATCGTCGGAAGAGTAAACGTGTATAATTGGTGCGCACAAAGCGCTTAATTTGAGTTTAAAAAAAATTGCAAATGAACTTTATTTTGGGGTGATCAGCAGTTTGTTCCCAGATGTGAGTTTAACGCCATTGGAAACGTGTAATAAAAGCTTCCTGTTGTTTGAGAATTAAAACTTTGATTTGCTCCAATGAATATAATGGTATCTTGCTGCAGCAACATTGCCCTGCCCTGCTGGGAGGCAAGTAGTAGAAACAAAAGTGCTTTATTTTTATGACTATGAGTGTATTCATGTGTTTTATGTAGAGGTTGGATGTTTGTCTGGGACCTCATGTTGTTTTCGTGGGTTTTAAAAATACCATTATTTAAATTGTGCAAAGGAGTCATTTTGTATTTACCATTGCTTGCTTTATAACCCAGTTCAAACGTAAGACCTGCCTCAAACCTATTTACATTAATCGCTGGAAGAACAAATGGCCTGTTGTGTGTGGTTGTTTTATTATATATGTGTTTTGTTTGTTTGGTTTATTTCCAGTGCCATCCCTACTGCTCTTTATGCTGCTCCGCTTTTGTGTGGACGTGTAAATGAAGAGAGAGAGAGAGGCAACAGATTGCAAGATGAGCCAAATGAACGTAAGTACACAGAGAAGACCGATAGGAGCCTGCGTACGCCGAAGATGAAACTCTAATATTTAAACAACAACAAAAACCAGAGGCTTCTAAAATGTAACAGCACACCAAGGCACGCAAAACACACACACACCACTAATTGTACGGACATAAGGTGCCTCCTTATTACCAATTACTTTGATACTGTGCAAACACAGCTAAATGTGTTTCTTTGTCATTTTTGGAACAATACCTACGTGACACAGGTGATGGGTTCAAGTGGTAGGGTATGTAACATTGTTTTGAGTTTTTTTTTAAGCGCCTGATTGCACGAATCACAATACACGCGCACACAACAACACGCGGAGCGAGAGAGAGACATGGCCCTCGTGAAGCGCATTCGCAGCATGGGGGGGGGGGGGAATAATCGGAGAGAGAGAGAGACGGGGGAAACCTTCGCACAAAACTCTGGCGAATTAACGAGACTCGCTCCATTAATGGGGGGGGGGGGGGTCAGCCATTCTTCCACGGGGTTCCCTTTCTTAAGGAGCGCTCTCATCACGCCGGAGCGAGCCCTTCTCTCTCCACCGCCTCCACGGGAACTGAACACGCCTTAAAGGACTCGTACTGTACAACTCGTCCCGGTGGTCAATAAACCTCGGTCACGTTGAGCGCTTCGCCAGCTTCCTCAATCGAGCCGCCGCTGCGTTTCGCTGCGCGCAACGATGAGCGTCGAGTAGCTTTCTCGTCCTGCGGGGCAGCGCGCGTTGTGGACGGGGGTCGAGGCCGTGTGCGCTACGCGCGTGCGTTTGTACGTTGTACGCATGGCGTTTGTACGTTGTACGTACGTGCAGGAGGTTCGCGCAGGAGGCTACTGGGCAAAGTTGAGGAAGGCGGTCGCCCCCAAAGTAACAGCGGAGGTCAGAGGAGCGATGCTGCTCACAATAACGAGCGGCGAGTTGGCACAGTTGCATGTGGGGGGGGGGGGGGCACAAATTGTGGTGCATATTCCAGTAGTCATCTCAGTGAGTCAACCCCATAACACCTGGGTCTATCCCGTGACCTCCTGTCAGCAGCAGCGAGCCTTCGACACTTAACATGATAGACTCAAGGTGCACCTAGCATGGCACGAGTCGTAGTGATGTCACCGCCGCTTAGTAGATTTAAAATAAATCCATGTGCGTTACAATACGCAACATAAAACCCACACACACACACATGTAAATGGGCACGCGGACACGGGAACTCCGTGCCAATGCAAGAAGTATGTATATTGGATGTGGTGGCCAGGTGCGAAGATATGTAACGATGGTCATATGCTTGGGTCTTTGGGCAGAGCCTGCCAGCGAGGACCGTGCATGTATGTGCGGTCGCATGTATGTACACATGTATGTATGTATGTACGCATGTATGTAACACGTGCATACATAATGTGAGTGTGAAGGGGTTAATTTGTAACCGATTTTTCTTTCCGGATCGCCGGTCGACGAGAGTAGGTGGCAGGCGACTTACTGACGTTGCCACATCCCTAGCGAGAGATATGCTGGATGTGGTGCGTCGGATGCCGAAATAATTACCGAGGAGCCCACCCGGACAGACCCAAGCTGTAATTAAGCCCCGTGTGCATTTGCATAGCGAGAACGTACCCGGGCTATAATTCATAACTGAAACTATTAGGTAGAGCAAGGAGGACATGAACACGACGCGACGCTAAAATGACGGTGGCCTGTGGTCACGAATCGTGGACGAAGTAGCGGCCAAGGAATGGAAAGCGTCCGAGAGGCGCGTCCAGCAAAAAGATGGAGCGGTGAGACGCATGCAGGTGCTAGTTGGACCTATCCCAACGAAAGTGTCTTATAGAAGACGGCGACTTTGGGATATCTCCATCCAGCAGTGGATTGATTATGGCGTATGGTGATGATGATGATTACGTGATTTTCATCAGCACGCGGAGCCGAAGCGAGCGGCCATCTGTCAGCCCCTTCTCGGCCGCAGAAGGGGCTGGCGGTCACGGAACTGTGGGCCCCCGCAGAGTCGGGCACGACCCCCGCAACCACCCCCGTCGCACCCCTTCGCACCCCGCTCCACCTCCCCCGTACACCCCTCCCCCCCACACCCCTCTCCCCCACCCTCCAACACCTCCCCTGCTGCTTGCGCCCTCCATGCGCCACCGATTGATCATCGCGCCGAGTCCTCGCAATGCGCAAAGACTCGCGCAGATCCAATTGTCATGCAAATAGAGTGGACATTTGACATGTTTGTTGTTCGTGGTAGTGGCGGTGGTCATTCTGGTGATGATTGTGGTGGTATTGTTGTTGTTGGTGTTGTTGGTGGTGATGTTGGTGGTGTTGGTGGTGATGTTGGTGGTGTTGGTGGTGATGTTCGTGGTGATGATGGTGGTGATGATGGTGGTGATGTTGGTGGTGATGTTCGTGGCGTTGGTGGTGTTGGTGGTGTTGCATTGATGGTTGTGCTCACAACTCATGACGTGTGGTGGTTGGTGGTGGTAGTCCTGGTGTTGGTCATTTTGCGCCCTTCAATTCGTAGTTTTGTGATATTCCAGTGGCTGAGTGGATAACAACATCAAACAACAACATAAAACAACAACAACAAAGAGAGGACTCCTGTTGACAGTGATTCGAATACACAATCACAACGAGAAAAAAAAACAATACAGTACTCAGATCATTAACACAGCCGTATACCTTAAAAGTAAATAACGTTTCGGGATGTGACCCTTATCTTTCGGCTCTGAATACCAGGCATTGATCTGAGTGTGGGCTAGACGTCAGTCTACTGCATACGTTTCGTTTTCGGGAATATTAAGTGACGCTTATTGTGTTCAGCGCGATGTTGACTAACGCAATGTCTGAAATGAATTCACCCCTCGGTTCACATTTGATGACAGTTACTTTGAACAACAAAAAACAATAAAGCGTAAACCTCCGTCTCAGTCGAAGGGATAGCCATGAAACTCGTTGAGCTCAGTTGCTGCCAATGATGATGATAATGATACCGAATGCGCATCTTGATAAGTTGCGCCAACAACAAAGTTAAGAAGCTCGCGACTGTTGATGAAGAGAAGCACAAACGCGATTAATTCGCCAGTCTGAAGGAACAAGTATTGCAGCATTGGCTATAAGCAGAAGGATGAATCGGTGGTACTGTCTTTCACCTTACATTGATTGTTACTGCATAAATCAGTGGAGTTCTTAATTGGCTGTCGGAATTATAATTGACGAAGCGCTATTCATTGCCCCCAGCTCGGGAGAGGAAAAAAAACACGTGAAGTATGGCATTGTTTTAGCCCGGAAAGCGTGATTTTTTTTAGTAGTTTTTAAGTTGTTGCTTTCAAAAGTATACACGACTGGCGAACGTTTTTGTAAGAAAGGAATAATATTCGTAAAAAGAAACTTCTAATTGTGGGAAACGCTTCATCCACGACGACATTCAGGTGTGCGATGAACTGTTGGCTTAATGAATGAAAATGGTGTTCATCGGCGACAACGTAATTCGTAATATGGGATTGATATACTTACAAAAGAAAGATATATATAGTGTAACAACACACTGATTGGTTCACTTGATACGTCGGGAAACAATATCCTCCAGCAGCGACAGTGTTGTTGATTTTTTTACAGGAAAAAAAACCATTGCAACAACAAAAAATAATTTTCGATCCTATTATGCAAACATTTTGTATGATGCTAAAACATTTTCATTTATCAGCCATGTTCCTTCCGTTATCGAGTCCACTTGAACCCGCGGGGTATAGAATAGATACCCATCTCGCAAACCAAGCAATGGCGTGAATTCCACAAACATACTTTTAAAGTTATCCATATTGGACTGTAATTAACAATAATTATACAGCATTTAAATGTCTGATATGCACGCTATAATATTTGGTTCTCCTCCATACGAGTTGATATCAGTGGCTTCGTCCGAATTTGACTGCCTGGCAATTCCAAACAAAAGATTTGCCAAAAATCCACGGAAAAATCGCCTCCGGTATCGTGGCAAAGAGTCGGCAGTGCAATTGCAGTGAATATCACGACTGTCCAAGAACGTGTCTCACAAGAGCGTGTGTGTATATGCCGTGTGTGTCTGTGTGTATGTGTCTGTCCGTGTGTCTGTGTCTGTTTTTGTGTGCGTATGCGTACGGATGTTAGTACGTCTATATGTTGGTATGTCTACGTGTGTCCGTATGTGTATTGGTGTCTTTACCTGTGTGTGTCTGTGTGTGTTCGTACGTCTGTCTTTGTGGGTGTCTGTGCACGTGTGCATCTATGTATGTATGTATATGCGGTCCTGGGCCTCACCTAGGTCAACTGAGCCTTAAATGAGTACCTGGTGCGGTGTGTAAACATCGCCACTGGGGTGTCAACGGCGGCCGGGCGTGGTGTTGGCCACCCACTCCCTCGTGTGCCGTTCCGGCCTTCATAGGTGCTCGCTAACAGCGCTTGCCCCAACAGTCTGTTAAGGCTAAACGGGGGATCTTTGTCTTTGTGTCTATGCGCGCGCGCGTACGTGTGTTTGTGTGTATGGGCGGTCCAGGCGAAAGGACCACGCCACTGAGTTTGAATTCACGTCAGAATTGCAACATTCCGTGCTGTGACAAATATCCGCACGCTTTGTAAACGGAATATGCACAGATGGGCGCCCACTTGAAAGACCTCAACTTTTATGGTGTGTTCCAATCCTGTAGTTAACCTCGCCGAGCTGGCTGGAAATCGGAAGAATGAGCGGTGGTAATGTCGTGTTTTGTTGTTGTTGAGACATTGCAAAATAATACGTGCGCGCTTGCAACGCATTATTGTCCCTTCTGTATTTGTGCGCACAATTACGGATTGGTGCCGAGGCGCGCGCGCGTCCGCGTGTGTTTATTAGTTTTGATCAGGACGCCTTTTACGTTGCAAAAGTATTCACATTTTCAACGGAAAGAAGGAAGGGGGGGGGGAGTATTACGATGTCGCTTAAGCTGTGCTTGTTTCCATGAATCTGGTAGCACTTCGCAGACCTAAATTGCAGAGGCGAGTAATTCTCCATCGCGTCAGTGGGTGCGTGCGTGAACAACCAAACCCCCCCCCCCCAACTGTATGGAGAGGGTCCGATGGTCGCGCACAATGACAAAACAAAAAAAGAGAGTTCAGACCGAGCTTGCGTTGAAGGAATCTTCGCCAATCGCTCGAGTTTAGCATCGCTTCTGCTTGCTAAGTCTGTCTGTTGTGCACGGCTCCGCCCGTGTAAACACGCAAGCAACGTGGGCGAGTCGCTCTTTAGCTGCGCACCTACACGCGACAAAGTTCCCCAAGTCAACAGCTCGGGAAGACAACTCGGAGACAATCGTTGCCCCCGGTCGCACGCAACTTTCCTCCTTGCCCCCCCCCCCTCTATTTTCCCTGCCTTTCTGTTCTGCCCCCGTTATTTAACACGGCGTATCGCGCGGCGTTTGGGACTAATTATTGTCACGCTGGGTACAAGGGGCCCGGCTTAATCCCGACAAAACGGCACTTTGTCGCTCTCTGCGTGATCCCACGCACGGGACACCCCAGGCCACTCTCCAAAGGCTACAGCCGTAGCTGATGTAGCTGCTGCTGCTGCCTAGCGGCGCGCCCAGCACGGGCCCGACTTGGGACCTCGATCGTGGGACGCGGTAGCGTTGTGATGTGGGGGGGTTGGAGGGGATGGTGGTGATGGGAGGGGGTGCGGGGGGGGTATGATAAACCCTGCCGACTTATATCACACCGACACCGTTGTTTCTACCCGTGCTCGACTTATTTACTGGAGCGCCCACAAATACACACACACACGTATATACTTACGTACATACACACGCGCGCAATTGCATAAGGGATATAGGCTAAACGACGCGATATAAATAATAGCAATCGGAGCTCGTATACGCGCGAACGCATAAAACGGACACATCACCCTCGACTGGAGAAAATACGTTGCAAATAGTCGCCCACAAACACACACATATACTTATACACATGTATATACTTCAGCGTGTATTTGTATACATATAGGTGTATACTGTACTAATATACCGAGATGCCCGATAAGAGTGGGACCCTCCGCTTGCTGTGCGCGGTGCTGGCTGATGGCCATCGAATACGCGACGCCCCGTTCGGGACTGACACCGAGTCGTGGACTACTGTAGAGTCGTGGCTACTGCAGAGTCGTGGACTACTGTAGAGTCGTGGCTACTGCAGAGTCGTGGACTACTGTAGAGTCGTGGACTACTGCAGAGTCGTGGACTACTGTAGAGTCGTGGCTACTGCTGCTCTACTGCCGAGTCGTAGGCTACTGTAGAGTCGTGGGCTACTGTAGAGTCGTGGCTACTGCTGCTCTACTGCCGAGTTGTAGGCAACTGCAGAGTCGTGGCTACTGTAGAGTCGTGGGCTACTGTAGAGTCGTGGCTACTGCTGCTCTACTGCCGAGCGCGTGTTGCTGGACGCGCGCTCCTCTCGGTGTCGATTCGAGGCCGGCGATCACGCGAGGCAGAGACTTGAGCGAGCGCACACAAAAAGCTCCCAACTTCCCTTTCCGCGATTCTGTGGGCTCTGCCTAAAACTCTGCTCTCCCTCCTTTATCTATCGTCTATCTAACTCTGCGTCTCTCCGACTCTCTCTGTCACTCGCTCATACTCTCTCACTCATACTCCCTCCAAAGCGTTCCTTTTCTCCGCCAGTTCCATCTCTCTCTCCTCTCCCCTTCCACTCCACTCCCTCTCGCTCGCTCGCTCCCCCCTCTCTTTTCTCGTCTCTCTCTCCCCCCCCACACACCCACCACCACCTCCTCTTGCTCTCGTCTTCTGCATCCCCTATCTCTGTGTCGGTTATTGCGTCCACACTCGCTCACGTTGGGGTTGCCCCGCCACACACGGCGACAGCGAACCGCGAAGCGCCGCTCTTTTGAATAATCAGGCGGCGTCCCTGGAAGGCAGCCAATCAGCCGTCGCGGCCCTTGGATGATTAATCGCCATGCATTATTGATAATCATAATTGCCCGGGCATGCGCGGTGGCGCCGCGCGTTAATTTCCGTAATTTTGCAACTCGAGAATTTGTATTTTTTTTATTCGCCGCTGATGTATCTGCCATGTCGCGCCGCAAGCAGGCTAAGCCGCAGCAGCTCAAGACGGACCAAGATCCGCCGCTACTTTCGGAAAATGGTGAGTTTGTCCCTATCGGGGTCGCTTCTGTTGTCGACGGGAACGCCGCTACGCGCTCTCGGGCTCGCGGGGTGCCGGGTGAAGAAGTCGCTGTTTTCTGGGGCAGGCGAGGGGTCGTTCGCTATCGTCGTCTCGTTCCTCTCTCTTCTCCTTTCCCCTTCTTCTCCCTCTCTCTCTCGCGCCGATGAGTGTACCCAGAGCAATGCGCGCTGCCTGCCCCTAAGAGCCGCGGCACAGAGACCAGGGTCACGAAAACACTCGGGGGGCCCCGGCACACACACACACAAAAAAAAGATTCGGCAACTCCTGAGGCCATTTAAAAAGTCGCTCGCCGAGCCGCGCGCTCGGGGCCCGTCCCGGTGCCCCAGCGTGCACGAACAACGCGGACTTGTGGGGGTCTTTTTGTGTCCGAGTAAGCGAGGAGCGAGCGTGTTAGAGCGGCTGAGAGCGAGCGAGCGAGTGAAACAAGTTATTTTTTTTCGCTGCGGCGTGCGGTCTCTGCTCTCATTGTCCGGCGCGAAGGGGCACAGCGATCGCGGCAGACAAAGTTCCTGGTAGCCAGGCACCGCGATACCCCCGGCCGCTCGACAAGACGAGCAGGACGCGGCAGACTTCTCTCCCATGGTCGTCTCGGCGGTGTCGAGATGGGGGCGGGGAGAGAAGTTGCGGCGCGAGTGGCGGAGGCTGCAGCCGGCGGAGTGAAGTGCGCGGCAGGCGCCCGGGGGTTGATCATCCCCGGCGCGGGTCCCGTGTGCCGTGCCGCGTGGAGCGCGATGGTGGTGGTGATGATGGTGTTGGTGGGGTTCGTGCTGTCGCACGTCGCAGTAGGATCTGCTGCTGCTGCTGCACTGTATGTGGCGTGGCGATGCGAGGCAAAGCGGCACTCGCCGGGTGGCTGAGTCCTTGGGTTAAACATTAGCCTCGAGAAGCGACGGCGAAACTTTAGCGAAGTGCAAACAATCGCGACGTCCGTGCCCAACAGACAACACGGGATTCTTAGCAGGAGGGACGGCTTGTTGTCTCTTGCTTTAAGAGGGGAAGCCCTAACTTTGTGTACAAGTTGTTTGGAGGTTCTCGCACATTTAGCCACGCGATGGGTTCCGCCTTGCTGTTGTTTCTAGTCCCAGCTGTGCGGGGCTTGAGAAGCGTGGCACACACGGATTGTTGTTGTCGTCGAACATACGGCCAAGAGTTTCCACGTGTTCTCGTGGACCCGGCCTCGCGTTCATAAAGTCTTATTAAAGATACCAACATATGTGTGGGAATAAGCAGGATTCGTTTTTCCCATTGTTGTTGGTGTTGTTTAAAGAGCCCAGCCGCTAACTTGTACGGATTAAAGATGGAGAGGCGGCGGCGTGTCGGGAGGGATTTGGTGGTGGCGGTGTTGTCACGGTTTTTGTTGTTTTTGCGAATTTAACGAACGAAACAACTCGGCTCTTTTAATGCCATCCCCGCGCAAAATGATGCGAGCGAAGACGCGAAACGAATCGTTAGATTTAGAAAACTGCGACGCTTTTTAGCTGTGAACGGACGTGTTTAGTTTTGCGTGGCGAGGCCGTGAGAGTGTGTGTGGATCTGGGAAGAAACACCAGGGCCGACATCGTCCCAATGTTGGCAGCCTTGTCGCGACTGTGCGACTGTGTTTGTCTTCTTCGTGTTGCATCGTCACCATCGACATCAGCCGCTTTAGTGTAGTAGCGGCACAGCTTCGTGTTTACCACGTGTACCTCGTTTAACGCCGCTCCTATGCAACTCTGCGTATATTCGTGTGCGAACTTACCTGTGCGGTTAGAGGTGGGGGGGGGGGGTTCGCCGGATGAGGTTGGTTTGATGCTAGGAGTGATGCGAAATGAATGGCGGCATTGTCACGTAGCACCTACATTACGCCTCGGATGTAACTATATTGTTTAAATCTTGACTTAAAGCTTTCGTGACTGCAGGAATTCATATTCTTTGGGTCTTTCGGTAAAGTCACGAAGATAAAATATATTGTTTAATTTAGTCGACTCGTTCTTTAGACGCTTAACCAAATAACTGACTCCGGATTCAAGCACAGTTCCTATTACTCACGCCTATAATAACATTTTGCAACAGGTTCATTTCGGAGCGCGTTAACTTCCCCTCTGGCCGATCAACTAAATAAGACGTATTCGTTGCCAGAATACACCTGTGGAATGCCAACGTGTCGCACATATGTCTCTTTCGCTTTATAAATACGTTATTACGATGGCAAAGACCTCCTGAGATCTGCCGGCCGTTGAATTTGGCCAACACTTTGCGAGTTTTGTAAATATTTCGCCGTTGAATCTGCTCGCTATCACTGCAGCTTTAACGCCACAACTACCGCCACCGTTTTGATGAAGTAAGTCATCCCTGTGTGTGTACACATACAAAACCTTAAATATAACGTTCTTGGCAGCACTTTTTCTCAATATGATGAGATTATTTCATATTTTTAAGAATGATTATGCTTTCCTTTCCCTCTGGAGCAGCATTGTGTTGGGTGCATGATGCGTTCAACTAATGTGTGAGTCTTATTCCATGTGAGAAGTCAGCTGTAAGTTATTTTTTTCCACAGTGAAACGTTTAATGACTCGTGGCTGGCAATTTTGTGTAAATACGTGAATGGGTAGTTGCACATATAATGTTTTATAACTTCTTCGGGACAATGGACGGGTCTATCTTATGAGTATGACCTGTCCTCTGAAGGCGACTCGGCACAGAAACCACAACTTATAGCCCAGAGCTATTGTTTTGCTTACGACTCGAGTCATTAGCGCCTTTTAGGATAGTCTATTCATTCTTCTTCTGCTAGCGTTCCAGGATAGTCTATTCATTCTTCTTCTGCTAGCGTTGCAGGGTGCAAGAATGCATCAATTGAAACATCCTACGCCGTTTTGTTTAAAGTCTCATTGCGGCTGCTGCGTGTGGCTATTGTCACCGCCACTGCTGCTATCTCTGGGATATCGCGAAATAAGTTGTGGAAGCGAACTCCGCCAAACCGTAGAGACTGTGAGAGCAGAAGATGTTGGGGGGGGGGGGCCCGCGCACAGCAACGTGTGGGGAGGTCTTCTCGTTGTGTCCTCGTTTCGCGCGCATCTTACATCGTGAGCAAGATCTCGGCAATGACATATCTGAGCACGCACACACACACGGGCACCCATCTCAACTCTCCCGCACCTCGCTCTTTCGGCCGTTTCATTTGTAGTGTAATGAGTAAGTTAAGTCGCGGTGATTGTTCGGTCAGGAGTGATGGCACAATAATTAAGTCTAATCACGTTTTCCCGTTTTGCCTATCTTCCACGGGGGAAGTTCTTTCAATTGCACCTCTGAACATGCACATACAGAACCAGACTTTGTATTGACACTGGAGAAAGCCGATAGGCTATAAAGCTCTTGTACGCATACTTTTACACACGCAACAACCACCACCCCCATCCCCTCCTCCCGCCACGCACTCTTTCGGCCGTTTCATTTAGCTTAATAGAGTAGTGAGTTGTGGCCATCGGTGCCCACACCAAGTGTTGATGGCACACAACGTCCCGTCGCCTCCACCGTCTCGTAGCCCCCAGGGCCGCTTTGAAGTCGGCGTGGCGGTGGCGTCCCTGCAGTCGTCTGACTCGCGAGGAAGGAGCGGCCCGGGTCAGTACTCCAACCGGCATGACCGAGGTATAGCGTGGTCCGTGACTCCTCGTCTTGGACCAAGGCTTGCTAACTCGTGCGAGCCCCCCCACCCCAGTCTGTACACATAGTTTCGCTGCTTGGTAGAGACGATCGTGAATCACGTTTTGGAACTCCTCGCGCGCTAATGCTCTATATGTGTGTTTAGTGTTTATATACGCGTGTGTGTATGGTACATTACAACACGCACGCCTTCGATTGAACGTTGGTGCAACGTGTCCACGCGTTGCATTCTATGGTTTGTCAAGTGCTGACTTGTAGGTTAAGGCGTCCGGGTAATTGTCGTTGACTGTAAATTTGTTTATTTCATTGTTGTTGA